GGGTGTGGTGATAAGCAGAATAGAGTTAGTGTATGGGAGATTGAGACTCCTGAAAGCCTTTTTATCTTTCCTTCTTTGACTTCAAGTCTAAAACGGCCATTACAATCTGGACTTTTGGGTAAGTTTGTTTGTTATATCTTTTTTTCCTACTTTGTAGATGAGTCTTCTATTTGATGACAAGTTGTGTTGGTTGGTAACTTGGTGCAGAAAATGAGTGGGGAACTTTGTTAAGAAGACCTTTTATAAGAGTTCCTGAAAATGGGACAATGGAGCTCTCAAACTCAATACCAAATCTCTACTCCGAACACCTGATGAAAATGCTTTTAAAACCTCAGCTTATTAACAATAATGGAGCATTTTTATCTGTCATGCAACAAGAATCTGCTGCTATGAGAGCTCCCTTGCAAGAGATGATGAAGACCACACTAGCAACACACACCCAAAAAGTTCATCTTGCATGCACAGAGAACACGTCACTGAAAAATCTACATTCTCAGTCTATTCCTGACCAACCTAATGCCTTAAACATGCAATCACTGTTGAAAAGTGATCAACCTGAAAAGTTGCAGCCTCTGCCTATAGGAACAGTTACTGATAAGTCAAAAATAGAATCTGAAGTGTTACCTGATCATATGATTGACTACCCTTCCGTGGAAGGCTGCAACATTGAAAAAGTGGCAGCAAATCCTGTTAACCAACAAGGCCTAGCAAGTCAATTGACATTCCATAATCAAAACCAGAATCCATTACTCACTCAATCTAATCCATGGCCTATGCAACCTCAGTTAGAGTCATCCATACCACATCCTCAACTGATTGATGTGGGCCAAGCTGATTCTGCTATTGTAAATGGCCTACTTCCTCAGCTAGAAATTGATGAATGGATGGTGTATGCTTCTTCCCAACCTTTTGCTGGGCAAAACAGATCAACTTTGCCTTTGTCAGACTTGCAAGAACATAGCTCACTTCAACCTCAAGCAGTGAATCCCTCTTTAACTTCAGTGAACCAAGAAGTGTGGGATCATTATGTCAAGAATTTGAAGTTTTTATCTCAATCAGATCAGCTAACATCAGTCTGTCAGCCGGGGTTGTATGGCCTCAATGGCATGTCTAGTTCAAACAATTTGAGGGATCTCTCAGCTGAGAGCAACAACCAAAGTGAGATTTGTGTCAATGTTGATGTTAGCAACAGTGTAAGTACTACCATGGTTGATCCTTCTACTTCAAGCACCATTTTGGATGAGTTGTGCACAATGAAAGACAGAGAATTTCAGAATCCACAAGATTGCATGGTGGGCAACTTGAGCTCAAGTCAGGATGTCCAGTCTCAGATAACCTCAGCAAGTCTAGCAGAGTCACATGCCTTTCCGCTGAGAGACATCGCTGACAACTCAGGTGGTACTTCTTCAAGCCATGTTGATTTTGATGAAAGCAGCTTTCTACAGAATAACTCATGGCAGCAAGTACCTGCACCAATTCGAACCTACACAAAGGTTTGTAGTAGAAAAAAATTCCACATTTGCACATAATTCATGTAATGTTTATTCTTGCAATATTATTTGGCTCAACATCTTTAATTATGTATATTATCATGGTTTTGATTGTTTTTTTGGGATGACAGGTGCAAAAGGCAGGTTCTGTAGGAAGATCAATTGATGTCACCACTTTCAAGAACTATGAGGAGTTGATCCGTGCAATTGAATGCATGTTTGGACTTGATGGTTTGCTGAATGACACTAAAGGTTCAGGATGGAAATTGGTATATGTAGATTATGAGAATGATGTTCTACTTGTCGGGGATGATCCTTGGGAGTAAGTTTCTTACTTACCTCCTCATGTAATGTGTGATGATATTTCATGCACCAGTTTAATAGCAGGCTTAGATATGCTTAGAATACTTTTTGAACCAAGATAATAGGCTTAATATTCTTTGTCCAAATGCTGTGTGTAGGGAATTTGTGGGCTGTGTTCGCTGCATCAGAATTCTATCACCTTCAGAAGTTCAGCAGATGAGTGAAGAGGGGATGAAGCTTCTAAACAGTGGAGCTTTGCAAGGGATCAATGTTTGAATGTCACTAAGTCATGCTTTACAACTGGTTTTATTGGCCATTCTATCTTTTTGAAAAACAAAGGCATTGGCTATGGGAGAAGTCATATATTGCCTTATCCTTGGTGTCAGTCATGTGATGTATGAACTAATGGGCACACTCGTTTGACAAGATTGGAGCCTTTGTAGGTAATGGAACAAACCCTGAAGATGGAAGTGTTTGTTTATTATGACAGATCAAAGGTTGTAAGATGTTCCAATGAGTCAAGGGTTACATACCTAATGTTGTAAGGCATTCTTGCTGGGAAGTGGAAATATTATGCTTTATTATCATTAATACGCATTAAAACCTTTCCAAATATTTAACCATCCAATGCTACCTTATTTCCATCCCAGTTTGGTTATAAGCCTGAATTAAGTAAATAAAACAGCAAAACAATAAAATTAAAATTAAAGGAAATGAACACTAAAAATGAATAACAATTCAACTCGGACACGGTCGTATAACGATATTTAAAAACTATAAAATAAGGCTAAATTCTAACATATAAAACTAGTGTAATTATTATGATACTATTATTCCATGTTGACATTAAAGATTAAAAATAAATGAATAAAAATTATTAAATATGCGTTTTAAAGTGTTCTTGCTTGTGGACCATTCATTTATTTTCCTATGTTTGCAAGCAAAATAACAAACAACAGACGAGGCAATCCAGTACGGCCGGTAGCATGTAAAGCCACTTCAGTCCCATAATGAATGGGCTAAAGAGAACGTATAATCAGTGATTGTGACAATGTTTTTGTCAATTTCGAGATTTATATGCTTTGTAAAGGTCAGATATTACCTGTTTTTAAACTTAATAGTTTAAGACTTTCACTCCTGTTTGGATCACAAGATCAACTTACGGAAAAATTATTATAAAAAAATAATATAAAAATAAATAAATTTTTCTATGAATTAAAAATAATTTATCTCTTTTTAAGGAAGTTAAATAAAACTAACATCTAAAAAATAGAAAAATAATTTTTTTATATTATCTTTATTTTCTTACAAAAATTTATTTACAAGCTCACCTAAATAGAGCCTGAGTTCAGTTTTGATAAATTTCTATAAAAAATTTGTAAAAGAAAAAGTTATTATAATTTTTTTCATGTTAAAAATAACTTGTCTCTTCAAATTTTAGAAAAGTTAAATGAATTTTTTAATAAAATAAAGAAATATAAATTATTTATATTACAAGAGAAATTTGTTAATTTTATACTAATTTTTTATGATTTTTTTTTTTTAGAAATTTACTCAAATTACAAATCCAAAAAAAATTACAGAGAAATTGAGCATTTCTGTTTTTACATGTTGCAGGTATAGTCGTATGCAGAAATAAAATACGAATTTTTAAATGTAAGTCGAAAAGCTAAAACTAGAACTTGCATATAATTTTTTCATTAAAAATTCCAAAATTCAAAGTATTTATCATATTAAATATAATAATTTTAAATAAAAACATATTATTTATGAATTTTTATTGTATATCAAGAACATATATTACAAAGCCAAATAAAATACAGGGAGCGAGCAAAGGTAATAAGGAACACTTAATTCCGGAAGCACAGACTGACATAATTAATCTCAACTGCCATGTTCACGAGAACACAAATAAACCAGTGATATATGATCAAGCATACCACAATAACGGTGCTCGTGACATTATTATATGAATTAAATGCAATGCTTCAACTACAAGATATCATAATTAGCTACAAAGCTTCAGCTTCAAGTCCTCACCGATACGTATATGGTTTAAGATAATGAAATTAATCAATGGCTTTATTATTAACCTGCAGAAGATGACCAAATACATACACCAAAAAAAGTTGTAATCAGAATTGAAAATCAAATCAGATTGGGCTGCCATATTTTTTTGTTTTTGAAGTAATTAAGCATCCAAATTCCATGGTCATTTTCGCTTCTTTGCGACAAATTGGGCTTGGTGGAGAATTAATTAGGTAACAATGAATGTGAAGTGGATGCTGCAAACAAAATTGTTTATTGACACACCTTATATCTATAATTACTCTTTTAAGGTGAATTTTGTTTAAAACACCCCTTTTCATTCTTATAACATATCAATAATAAGAGTATGTTATATAAAAAATAAATAAATTAGAGTGGCAATAAACATTCCCTTGAAGTTCCTATCTCATTTTCTTTTGTACCCCCCCATCCTCAACTCTTCCTTATAGGTTTGAAGCTGTTAAAATCTCGTATCGGCTATAAATATGGCCAAAATAAAATTTATGAAGACTATCATATCATCAAATTGGGCACTAGCTTTTAAGATTGAATTAAGCCAACTTCAAATTCAATAGAAGTCCAAAATGCAATCTCCACATTCAAGAAGAATTTAAAGAAAGTTTTGTCAAGTCAGTGTAAAAAATGAAATGATTGAATTCAGAACTATGAAATGAAGAGAGGCACACAGCGAAGACAATTTCATAGAATATCAAAATCCTTGAGCAACTATGCAAGTCATAATATTAAATAATCATTAGCCATATAGGCCTCAGCACTTGATATCTTCATGACTTCTGCACAACTTAATAAATGTATCTTCCATTACAAGACAGGTAACATTCTTGTGAGTAGACTTATTAGAATCTTTGGTTAGAGCAGTGAGTGGGATCAATAAGAAGGTGGATATAGAAGCAATATGAGGTATAGGAATTAAAAAGGGCATGCATATAGACGAAAGCAATTGCTCTAAGAATAAAGACTAAATTAGACTTCATAAGTTTCAAAAATGTAATTCATTTTTCATCTAATAATTCATCAATAATACAGAAATACAGAATGAGATATAAAACGTGAAATACAAAAATATATGTTACCTCAAAAAGTTGGTTTACAATTGGTAAGAAAACAATTATTGTACTTATTCCACATCCAATGGGACTTGATGATGATGCTGGCAGCAATTCATTCACACAAATTACGTGTGAAAGAGATTTAGGAGAATCAAGATTATTCTTTCTTGCTGTTTGTAGTATAATCTCCTAAACTCTAACAGGTTTCTGAAGGACAGCAGATAACACAACTTCAGGTTTGCCTGACCCAACACTATCGACCTTCTCTCCCACAGCCCATTTCAACTTTTTATATCCAAATCTTTCTATCAACCGAGTCAAAGCTTGTTTCTTCTCTTCATTGCCACAGAAGAAGTTATCAAGCCAAAACAAACCACCAGCCCGCAAAACTCGATCGATGTCAAACATCAAAAACTCCAACTTCTCTAGCTTACCTCCAACATCCAAGCCGCTAGAAGCATGAATCAAATCAAATACATTGTCATAGAATGGGAACTTATGATCTAAGCTTAAGTAAAGAGGCAAAAGCCCTCTTGCAGCAATGAACTCACTGAATGGAGCATCAACATTGAGAGTGCTAGTAATCACTGTAACATTCCTATCAGCCATTCTAGCAGCAAAGGATCCAGACCCACCACCAATGTCAAACCCTATCCTAATTCCTCCACCTCCCAAGTCCAAAACATCATCAACTAGAAAATCATTCTTACTTTTAGCCTTGATAAACCTCTGATTCTCATTGCCATTAACCAAATCAAAGCAACCAATGCACTCTCTACTCAACTTCTTAGCATTCAAACATTCAAAATTCTTACAATTAAGACCACTCCAATTAACTGTCTTATTACCAACAGGTTTCCAAAGAGAATCTGGAAAGGGATAAAGGCCTACCTTAGAAACAGTCTTTGCAAAACACCTCCTTCTAGGCAAAGGTTCACATCCTTTCAAGATCAGTTTCTGTGCCACACTCCAATCATCAGGGCAAGGTCCAAAAACCTTGTAACTCATGAACTGAGACAACAAGTCTGCAGATTTCTCACATGAATGGCCAACAGATGGCACCATTTCAGTGATCCCAGTTCTTGAATCTTTGCCCAGAGGGAGCTGGTGGCGCTGGAGGAATAGTTTGAGTTCACTAGCAATGTTGGGTCTTGAAAGATCAATGCTTTCATATCCTAGAAGCTCTTTCTCCATCTGGGCCAGTTTCTTCTGAGACAAATCGATCTCTCTCAGTATGAGTGAGACCTGTTCCGAGATGACAGTGATGTTCTTGTGACCATGGTGAAGAAGGTGTTGTTGATGGTGTTTTGGGGAAGCAGTGAAGGCATAGAGAGCAAAAAGATTGGTTGTGATGACAGAGAATATCATGAGAATGTTAACAGCTGAAGAACACAGAGTTGCTCTTTGGAATCTGGCTGTTCCATCGCCTATTTTCAGAGAAACAGAACCCATTTTGGTTCTTTCCTCGTGCAGAGAGAGAGTGAAAGATGAGAATCACTGAATCAGAGTGTGAGATGTGCAGTGTAGCTAAGTGCAAGTTAATTAGATTTCGGAGTAAGTAAGAAAGCTTTGTTTAAAAGATAACCAAATCCAACAAATGAAACCCTGTCGGTTAATGTATGGTTTTCATGTTACTTTACTGAGGGTAATGTCTCAGTTGATACCTTGCTAAAATTAAATCTATGGCAATTTAGTTTTTTTATGTCATGATTTATTAAACTACTTTTCCGCACAAAGATTAAGAGATCTAACTATCGTCGTGCAATTTTTTATGGTAAAAAAATAACACCTATCGTTTAATACAACGTTTTGGGTTAATTCTAATTAAGCCACATATATTTTTATTATAATTTTTTTGGAAAACAACTTTGTATATATTAGAAGGAATTGGTTTTACGAACGATTTTACTATAGTTTTCTTTTTTACAAAAGTGATGTTGGTTTTTATTAACCATCGATTAATAATTTTGACATACTTTTTATATCGAACATAAAATGAAATAACGTATTATATTTGCACCTTAGTTTTTTATTAATTTAATGAACGAATTTTAATATATATTTTAAGATATATAATAAAAAAATTATATTAAAAATTATTATATATTTTTATTATGTATCATAAATTGCTTTGGGCAGTGTTTTGCGATAGTGCACCAGAACGGCACGTTAAAAAATAAATGCATATAATGGAACCGAAAGGTCAAAGCTGAATGTCAAATACACCAATAATTGACGCCTCGGTAATGAGAATCACTTATTTATATATAAATTAAAATTAGAAAGTATTTAATATATTTTTTAATTATTCATTTGAATAAAATTAAAAAAATCATTTAAGACTTACTTTTTAAATACTTTCTACATTTTTTATTGGTTAATTAACTTTTAAATATAAGCTTTATTTTTCGTATTAAAATTACATTGATTTCTTGTAAATAATTAAATTGAAAAAATAAATTATTCATTAATATTGTCAAAACGTGAAGTAAAAAGAAATAAATGAAGTAATGAAAATGCCATTATCTAAAATAAAAATTACTGAAAGCTATGGACAAATTAAAAAATAATTTTTATTCAAAAGTTTAAAATTTAATGTTATTGATGTATTTATTAATATCATACTTTTTAATATTTAAATTTTTCAATTTCTTAATCACATTCTACAACATTCATACTTTTTCTTTATTATAAATGGGGCTAAATAGCTCGAAGTATAACAAGAAGCTACAACATCAAAACTAATAATTTTGAAAACTTCGTAAGGAATCACTTGTCAAAATCAGGTCTGTAACTTCATCTGCTTCTCGAACATGGAATAAAATCATTATTCTCCCTAAGTAGGCTTCTAATTCCTGCTAATCAGAATGAGACACCGTTGAGATGGACAATTAACGAGAAAGTTGCTATAGAATCCATTTCCACAATTAGGCGCTCAATCTTCCATTCAACAATAAGATTTAAACCATGAAAAACACCCCATATTTCTGCTTTGGTAATTGATGCAAAACCCATATTACAGGAGAAGTAAGACATCTATCAGAAGAATTTCTAATAAGACCCCCCCGCAGACGACTTGAAAAGAAGGAATCTTAATTGATCCATCAACATTTAATTTAAAAAATTTCTCAAGAAGAGTAGACCGATTAACTGAAATGTTCTTTATAGGAAGAGAATTATCCAAATTAATCGTATTTGAAAAAATCTCCCAGTAGCAGCAATTGCATTTAGTCTAGCAAGAATATTATAAGGAAAGTCAAACTTGCAGGAAAAGACCAAAGCATTTCTATCTTTCTAAATATACCAAACCTAGTTGGGAATAACTACTTTCAAGAAATCTGCTTATATTAGCTCCTCAATCAAAAGTTAAATTTTTTTAAGAAGTCATCAAGAAAGCCCAACTGAACAAAAATTCAACACAATACTCCTTAATAATTGAAGACCATAAATGAATAACTATCTTATAATCATGATTTGCTTTGAATCACTGTTTCAACCATCATAGAATATCTTGGAGTAAGTTCAGAATCAACCACTCCTTCCTTTCCTTTCAGAATAGCTAGGAAGCTTGTCATGAGCTGCTTTCCAAAGGAAGGTTTGGATTCTAGAGGACCCTTCCAAGACCAGATTTTGTTTAACATAAGATCAGATTTGCACATGATGGTGATCCAAATTTGCAAGAGCCTCATGCTGTCTTAAGAAAAAAATCTAGCATCAGCTTTATACTTCCAAGCTATAAAATCATCCTGATCTAGAGAAGGGGGAAGGATACCAGTCATTTCGTTACAGGTCTCACTAGGAAGAACTGGTCTGATGAGATTTTAATCCAAATAATTCCTTGCCACAAAAAAAAGCTAAAGTAAATTCTTTTTGCCAATCTTCAAGTTGAAATTTAAAATAATTTTGAAGAGTATTCAAGTTGGAAATAAAATTGTCTATCCAATATTTAATTTTATTTCCATTACTAAGAATCTAAGTAATACTATTTTTCACAAAACTCCAAGCGGCTAAGATACCTTTCGAGTTACCCAAATTTCGTCCAGGGCAAAGATCATAAATTAAAGATAAATAAACTTTATATTCCAAACAAAGAGCTTGAACCTAGAGAGAATTTCGATTTTTTCCAACTCATACTTTAAAATGTCATTTTTTTGTCAATTTAAAATATTAAAACAATTAAATAGGCATTCTTTTCAATTTTACTCTTAAGCATTATCGAGTGATTTTTTATGCTGTAATTTTTTTAGTAGCTATCATTTTATCTCCCGACACGGATAATTTAAGAACATTGCGTTACTTATTAAAGCTATGACACTGATGCTTCAATACAATTAATTAAAATCTACATCTTTAACAGGTTAAAGATTTGCAAATTATCTTTCAAAGGAAACAGACAGCATTTGATTTGGAGTTGCAAAGGTCAAGGTATGATTGAGAGAGGAACTGCTTACATTGGGGCAAGAAATCAGGTTTTGATTTGGAATAAAACTGGTGCTGATTAGCATGTAAACTGAATCTGAAACCTATACCATCTGAAAGCTGTGTGTTAGCTTTTCAACAAAACAAACGGTGCTCAAATCCGACCCGTACAATAGTTTTGCACCAAACTGTGACTGCACTGCTTTCAACAAAAGAAGCCTCTGTATAATCCTTAAAATCGCTCTAAAAGCCTGTTATATGTGTGTGTGCGAGAGAGAGTAGACGAAATAAGATATGCAGATGAAGCAACCGACATGTCAACCTTTAAAATTTGAAACTGACCACGTTGCTGAATAATTTCATATGCAAAATAAATCCAGGCCAATCATGCTGGAAGGTAGAAAATTACCCTCCACAAGTAATAAGTTCCAAATCTATTTTTTTCCTTTTTAATTACCCTCCCTCTTTTTTCTTTTTCTTTGAAGAATTGTAAAGTGAGCGACAACTGTTAACAACATAAATGCAGTTCAACTATAAAGTAAGTTCCAACAGCATATCCCAGCAGCAAGCATCAGAATCAGATCTTTACCTTAACATTCGTTCACCAATATTTTTTAATGCACAAGGGGGAAAGAGGCATGACAATCTCTTTTTTATATGCACAGTACTTGCAGGGCATCAAAATGAAAGTTATCTATTCTTGCTTCCATTATCTCCTCTCCCAATTCTTCCCTCTCTTCTTTTCGTGCTCTCTATCTTTCTCTTCCACTTTTTGCCCTCTATGTTCAGCTAAATAACACATACACTTCCTCTTGAAACTTGTTAATGTAATTCCCTCCACTATTATATCAACCTTTACAAAAGAAAAGGCTCCAAGAGAAACCATGCTTTATACTTACCATCCCAGTATGTATATATTGATCCAGCCAACTGGCAGGTAAATAATTAAGGACTCTTCAATTTGGTTCTTTCTAGTCATTTGTGTCGAAAAGGCAAAAGATATTGCTCCTACTTTTGTTTTTACCCTTCTCCTGAATATACCAAAAAGACAAAATTCAAAGGATAAATATTCTTCCTATTTCATAATGACATTCTTGACATGACATACATTGTGTTTGCTCACACAACCATATATATGATTTTCAGGGAATGAAACTCCACAGTCTGCTCCAAATAATGCAATTACATTCATTTTTTCTACTACTCATCCATCAACAGGACAAATGAAGTCTTAACTCAAGCCTTAAAATCAATTACACCTCAAGCATACACTAAAATTAACAGTAGACATTGCAACGAGAAAGGGGAGGGGAATCTAAACCAATACACACACCATGACCAAAAAAGCACTTGAAACTTGAAAGTATCATAAAAAGTAAAAGAAATCTTTACCTTCAATTTGACTATTGCTTAAATGGTTCACCCCACATGACTGGCGGCAAAGAATCAATCTCAACCACAAAGCTGGCCCCTCCTCATATTGGGACCTGGATTCTCTGCATTCAAAATTCCTGCTAGTTGGTTTTGCAGGTTCTAGAAGCAATGACAAGGAGGGTAAGTGACAGGCCAAGTGATGCACCTCATCATGATCAACCATCTGGTTTCTATCCTCACACACAAAATATCTGATCACAATGTTTGCAGTTTCACAAATTCCACAGCACAGATATTGGCCAGTGAACCTTGACTATGAAGCATTATAATGTTTCCAAGTATTAACAGTACAAACCTAAGTCAATGAAGAGCTTTGCAGAACCCTTCAAATTATTAACAGTCCTAACTCCTGAACTTGCGTCATATTTGGAGAGACAGAAAGTTATTGAATGTACTACATAAATCAAACTTCTGCCTAAACTTGAATGGCAATTCCTGAAGCTAGAGATAATGATATTATGCCAAACTCCCATACTATGATATCAAAACTTGTGTACCAATCCCACTCCCCTGCCAGAGGGAAAAGCTCCTGACAATTAAAAAAAAATTAAAAGAACTTAAAGGTAAGTCAAAGAAGAAAATTATAGTACTCTCTATAATCCTTTTTATAAGGCACATTCTAGAAGTTTTTAGTGGTCCTTTAATAAGTCCCTTTATAATTTCTATGAAACATTTATTATGTTCTTTCTATTTGTCCTTAATTAATGAAGTTAGTGGAAATCTAAATTAAAATTAAGAACAGTAAATGTTGATAGTGGGATTAGGTTCAATGGTATTAAATGAAGATAAAATTGTCATTATAATATTTTTTAAGAAATCAAAAAACTCAACAAACTTTAACTACTTTTATTGGTATGTATAATTTAGTGGAAGGTGCCTTATAAAAAGAACTAGAGTATTAAAAGGAACTCTCTATATCATACAATACAAATGAAAATGTCTAAATTTCCATTTGAATCAATATATAAGAAAATTTACATTTAAAACTGATTGCAGCATAAAACATTATCCAAGACATTGCATTAAGAGGAAATAGATGAATTACACATCATGCACGGCGTTTACTCAAACGCCATGAATTTGGTTCGTGGTATCTATCATAAAGTGGTTCTATACGCTCTTGACGCTTTCGTTTGCTCATCTTTGTAGGATCTGCCACTTTGAAGAATCTTGGAGCCAATTCAACAAGCCATTTGGGATCTATGACAGTGACCTCACGCATATATTCCTTAGTTGTCATCACAAGCTCATGGTAGATGACCCAGTCCGGCTGTCTCTGGAACAAAGCTGAACTTGGATGGATGTAAACAGGCTGGTTCTCAACTAGGGTTCTGTAACCTTCCTGAGGGTCCTTCCTAGCAGCATGGAAAAAGAATCCTGCGGTGATAGCCTTCCTGATTTTGGTGAAGTTTTTTCCAGCACTAACGACATCCAATTTGTACCTGAATATCCATACAAGTGTGTTAGAATGCAATTTAATATAATAAACAATAATGCAAGGGATTACAGTCAACATAATAACAAAAAATCATGGCAAAATGTTGGTTACAATCACAACAGGAAGCCCAAAGTCAAAAACTTACGGCTTCCCCTACATAAAGAGAAGAATCTCCACATTTCAGTATATTCACTATACATCGAATATTATGTTAACAACAATAACATTTGTAAAATCATTGGGCACCTCAATAATTTGATGCAAACTAAATCTGTCCAACCAAAAAAACAAACGTAGAACACAGCAAATAAAACCTTAAATAAAGCAAGTAAAATATTTAAAAGAATAGATAGATATCATACTTATCCATGATGGTGAGAAGCTGTTTCCTGACATCCTGTGCTCTTCTCAATGATCGGGACTGAACAAAGTTCTCGAAACACCAGGGCCCAGAAAAATTCTTAGCTTTCCAAGCCTCATAAACAGCAAGAAGTGTAAGATGGTCACCCTCTGGCTGGAAAAACTTTGCCCTCTTCTGATCTGCTTGGGCTTGTTTTTCCCTAGGCCGGTAAAAAATATTGCCTGTCTGGATCATGGCAATTATGGTCAAAATCTCATCACTGCATCCAAGGTCCACACTGGCAAGCAGCATCTTGGACAATGGTGGATCCAAAGGAAATTCTGCCATTTTCCTCCCCAGTTTGGTTAAAAGGCCTTCTTCATCCAATGCTCCAAGACTGTATAGCTGCTCCATGGCAGAAATAAGTGCTTGAGGTGATGGTGGATCCATAAAGTCAAAGGACAGTAGATCATTTATCCCCATAGCTTTCATATTAAGAGTAGTCGTCCCCAGATTTATCCTTTGAATTTCTGGAATTGTAGTAGGAGACATCTCATTCCTATATGCACTCTCAGTATACAGGCGATAACACTTCCCAGGTCCAGTACGCCCTGCACGTCCAGCTCTTTGCTTGGCTGATGCTTGTGAAATTGGAGTTATCACCAAAGAATCTAGACCTTGCTTTGGGTTATAAACATTTTGCTTAGCAAATCCAGGATCAATTACATAAAATATCCCATCAATAGTCAAAGAAGCCTCAGCAATGTTAGTAGCCACAACCACTTTCCTTTTCCCAGGAGGAGCAGGTTCAAATATCCTAGACTGCATTTCACTAGGAAGGGCACTATACACCGGTAAAATGATCAGCTCCGGAACATTCTTACCCAATCCCTTCATTCTCTCATAGAGAGATTGGCAGGCAAAATCAATCTCTTCTTGACCAGTCAAGAAGAGGAGAATGTCTCCTTCAGGTTCCGTCAAGTGGATCTGTAGGACAGTGATTAAAGCTGCATCTAAGTAATCACTTTCGGGTTGTTTAGTATAGAGTATCTCCACAGGAAATGTTCTACCAGGAATTGTAAAGATGTTACAGTTAAAGAAATAGCCTGAAAATTTCTCAGCATCCAGGGTAGCAGATGTGACAATCAATCGCAATTCAGGCCTACGCTTCACTAGTTGCTTCAGCAGTCCAAAAAGCACATCAGTATGAATAGTTCTTTCGTGGGCTTCGTCAAGCATTATAACAGAATACTGTGACAGATTCTCATCAACCAATATTTCCCTAAGAAGCATACCATCTGTCATGTACTTGATTACAGTATCTGGTCCAGTGCAATCCTCAAACCGAATGGCATAACCAACTTCCTCTCCCAATCGACAACCAAACTCTTCTGCAACTCTCTTTGCCACTGACATTGCAGCCACCCTACGAGGTTGAGTACATCCAATTTTACCTTTTGTGGTGTAACCCGCTTCAGCAAGATACTGTGTGACCTGAGTAGTCTTGCCAGAACCGGTTTCACCAATAACCACCAACACCTGATTATCATGCACAGCCTGAATCAATTCTTTCTTTAACTTATAAATTGGCAAACTCTGCCTCTGCTCCTGAATAGAAAGCTTTGATCGTTGCCCAAAAGTAATGGTCTTCCCATAGGCATCCTTCTTCCATTCCGGCATATCATAGGCTGATAAGCCAACACCTCTAAGCTCCTGGGCAAGATGCCTTTCACCTGTCTCAGGCATAGGATCTTCCCAAGGACGATTAAGATCCTTTGGAATTGAATCAAGCATTGTACGTTGTTGTTGTTCTCTTACTTCCCTACGCTCCTTTATGAGTGCAGACTGGAGAGCAGCAGCACGACCTAGAGAACCTTCTGGATTCTTAAAAATCTTAACAGGAGACATATCCATGGAGTATCTGCTCTGCCCTTGCAAGAAGGCAGGTTCATCCTCATTCATCTCAATCTCAAGCTCTTCCTCACCACCTTCCTCTTGGTATAGCAATCCATCTCCCTCCTCATCATAAGTTGGATACTCCGAAACACCCAAAACACCCGAAGCAATCAATTGTTTTGCTTCCCATTTCTCCGGTGAGCTCATTCTCTTCAGAGGTCTCCGCGAAGAACCAATATCATCCTCCTCCACAATCCTAATACCCGAAAGACCTGTCCTGGCAACCGGCCCATCCTTCGGTGGGTTCATCCTCAAAGCTTCATCCTCGGTGTTCTTCTTCAACGGAAGAAGATCCTTTCCAGTATGCTGATCAACATCCCTCATTGAAAGACTCAACTTCTGACCAGAAACTGAAATCACCTTCACATAAACCTCCTGATCCCGCTTGACAACATCCTTAGCATTACTAATCCTTCGCGTGGCAATCTGTGAAACATGCACCAAACCCTCCTTCCCTCTAAAATCATCCAACTGAACAAAGCATCCAGTATCCATAACCCTCGACACTCTCCCTTTATAAACCATATATAACTCAGGTTCGCTAGACCCATGCAGCGTATCCCTTCGACCCTTCCTATTACCATCACCATTCTCCCTCCCACGTTCATTCTCTCCATACCCATCCCTTCTACGCCTCTCATATCTATCCCTATCCCTATCCCTATCCCTATCATATCTATCTCTATCTCTATCCCTATCCCTATCCCTTCCTCTTCTGCTATAATCCCTTCTATCATCGTCATCATCATCTCTATCTCTTTCATACCTGTCTCTGCGCTTATCTCTTCTATCTCTGTCTCTGTACCCATCTTCTTCATCTGTTGGTTGTTTCTGCTTCTCTCTGATCTCGGATTCAATTTCCTTCTGAAGCTCCTTCACACGGTCCCTATCGTCTGCGATAGCAAGAGCCTTGAACTTGGTCTTGGAATTGGTGTTGGCGCTCTCTTTCTCCTTCTTCGAATCCTTGGGCTTCGGAGGAAGAATGGCGTGTATTATTTTGAGAAGCGTTCGAACGAAGTAATCAGGCATCTCTCCACCATTCTCCTTCAGTTTGGCGTCGAATTCTTCGACGTTCTCGGAGGTTCGACCTAACTCAGTAATGAACTCGGCGAGAACCTTGTCGCCGGTGCCAGTGTGGGACTCCAACTCGGTGCAAACCTTCGACACCAGCGACAAGTATTCAAGCTTCTTCAATCCATCCTCTGGATTATCCACGTCCATGTTCGCAAATTGAGAAAACTCAAAACCCTAGCTCTCCGATCTCAACCCTCCTTTGTAATTTCATTTTTTTGTTTATGAAGTTTTTGGTCAACTCTATTGCTTCGGATTCAGACGCGCCATTCAACGACGGCATCTGGTCTTATGTAACAGGCCCTTTTATTTTATGTTTTCTTTTGTAAAAAACCGAGAAGCCCAAAGGGAATGCAAGACACTGGCCCAATACCAAACCTCAAGCTTGTATAATCGAGAAAACTCTAGAACCGGGAAAGAACTAACGAATAGTTTTTTTCGTTTCATTTGCTTGTGGACTACGCTAGTGGGCCCTACCCTTTAAACTCTGACCATATTGTTGAAAAGCTTTTTTATCTTATCATTCTAGATTTTGTAAGTGTTCTTTCTCTTTCTTTTATCGATGAAGCATGATAAAAATATTATTATTATTTTAGTTTTTAGTATTCATTATCCACATCTATATATTAACTAAAATAATTTGTATTAAGAAATGTTTTTTTTCTTATTTGATTAACCATGATTTATTTCAATTTAATTTACCATTTTTTAAAATTTAAAACATGTTTAACTTATGTTTAATCAAATGTATCATTGCATGTATTTCTCTTATATGTTTTAATCGTCATGGTTTATTATTTCCTTGTTATTGAATCAATTTTCTTTCTTCTTTATTTTACAACACGTGTTTTGTGTGAAAAAAATTGTTGAATCAAATCCATATTTTGGATCTTTATTTAATTATTCAATTGAAAGAGATTCTTATTATTCTTAATTTTCTAATTGTCAGTCAATTTACTTCAATTAAATTTGAAAAGGTGTGATATTTACAAAACACCATCAGATTAATATTTAATATATAAAATCATTTTTTTAAATAAGAGGTTTTAAAAGTTTATTTATGATTTAATTTAATTTTATCATTAATAAAAAATTGTCTATTAATAGGCCAAATTTTAGTTAACTAACTTTTAAATTTAAAACCAATTTATGTAAATAGTATTTGTTTATTCACTTAATCAATTCCTCATTTATCTACTCAATTAAATATAAATTGTATTAATGAAATTATATGTATATCAGTTGCATATTATTAAATGTTTTTTAAATCTAATTTTATATATATAAATCAGAAAAAAATTATGATGTTTCCAAAATTGATGGTTTTAGATACCTTTAATAGGTATTAATGAGAATTAAGATGTGTAATTCATATTCTACATTACTTCATGACATTATTTTTCTTTTTCTAATGTTATTTCAACAATTTAAAAATATATAATAACTCTTAAGACTAATTTTATAAATTTATAAATTGAAATTTAAGTCTTTTTTAGAAAATATTATGTAGTCTTATTTTAAAATTTTAATTATGTTAAAAGTTTAAAGCAATGTTTAGTAAACATATATTTAAACTTAATTATTTGGTAAAAAAAATAAAGGAACTTGAAATTTTTAAAAGATACCTTTTTAAAAGTTATCTAAAGAAATATTTAACTTTTAAAAAATAGTTATTAATTTTTTTATTATCATCTTGTTTTTTATTTATTTAAAAAAGACAACTTATCCTTTATATGACTAAAATCTATGTTAATCTCGTTATCTTTTTATTCTTCTCATTTTTACGACAATGAAGGTCTGTTATATGTAAATATATTTTATATTAAAAATTATTTTTTATATTAATATTTAGTATAAAATTGTTAATTTTTTACATAATTAAATTTGTATTCTTCAAGTAATAAATTTTTAAAGAATAAATATTCACTATATTCTAATTATTGCTAAATGATATTTAATTTTAATATTATATTAATATAATATTACTTATCTTTTTAAGTCATTATATACAAATCAATTAGTTGTATAATTAGTTTGTCACATAACTTTAATTAAATAAATTACTTATCTAGTTATAAATATATATATTTCAACTAATTTTATAAATAAAAGCTATAAATTCACAACTTTTAACTTGTTTTATCAAGAACAACTTAAATAAAAAATTAATGTTTTGAAATAAATTGAAGTAACAAATTATATATATTACTTATTTATTTACATAATAATTTTTATTAAAGTAGAACTCTTTATCAATTAATATCTTATGTAAACAATTTTAATAATTAAAATTTATTATAAATATGAATAAAAAATTAAAATCAAGAGTAGAGTTTACACAATACATTTTTACATAAAATATCATTAGGGGGGGAAGGGTGGTTAAGCAAGAAATGCAAATTCCAACGTGAAAAAAAAAAGATTAATTTACTCTCTTTGTCCTTTATCAAAATAGCTTTGAAGTCAAAATACAAATATTCAACTCATTACAAGCAGGCAATGCCTAAGAAAAATCGGGAGATGCCTCAGACAAACAAAACATTTTTAACAAACACAAAGTGACATCACAAACACAAGTAGTCTGTAACTTAAGAATCATACCACACTATGTGTGACTCAAGAATAACAGTGAAAGTACAATAATGTACATAAGAGCCTCACTCAATTGACAATTTCTAGGCTTATAAGTTCCCCCGCAAACCCAACTGTCACAGCCAAACTTCATCATCAAATTTTGGGGGGCAGAGAGGGAAAGCAAAGGACGTAAATGGAATTAGAATTACAAACTGCCAATGTGCCACCGCAGGACTCATCATTAACTATTGTTGAACAATGTTGAATACACTAAATCTGTCAAGTGTCAATTCACCTCAGCCATTTTCTCTCTGAAAGAAACAGAAATAAGGTGATAAGTTATACAACTTATAAAGCACGACTACAACTTTGTTACTATTTACCAAGCCTAGCTTTTCTTTTAGAAAGAGTGAAAGTGTGCATGAATGAATGTAAACCTGAGGGATACGTACTATGGTACAAGAGACAAAAACAAGTGCAACAATTGAATAAAGCAAAGTTATAAAATATTGAGTAATGACATGACAAAATATTCGGCATAAAATAATCATCCAGATCCAATTTATCTGACATAACAAGGGAATTATCATATGCTTAACACAAACCCAACCCCACATCCCTTACCGCTTGAGCTATAATTTAATAGTGTTCCAACACTTTATTTTACCTTATAAAGTGAATCGAAAACAAACCCTTCAAAAGGCAGAAAATAGCATTTTCAATAGCAATCATAACAGGGTGGGTCATCCAGCATTAGTCAAAGGAAATATTTTCCCAAGAACTGTGAATCATTCTTTTCTTTGGTTAAAAGAGTAAATGTACACTCAGATCACCTAAATATATGTGAGACATCACATTGGTACTCTAGTGATAAAAACACCTACTTGATCCTCAAAAATATTGTGATATAAAATTGGTCTTTCAATAACACATTTTTTGCCTTAAAAAAACTTGTATATAAAATGACAAAAACTTAGTCCTTGAAGGAAGAAATGTGACAGTAATTATTACTGAAGGACCAATTGAGTGACATATAATAAATGCGGGACCAATGTGATGTCACATATCTTTAGAAGACCAAAATTAGTATCTATTAAAAATAATAAATTTAAAAACCACACCTAAGAGTCATCATTATGGGACCCAAAAAAGGCAAGTAATATTTAGAAAAGAATGTATTCCTTATACTATAAAAATTACCATGAAGAGCATTTACACCATTTCCCTTTGCGCCCTGCTGGGCATGAGATGTTGATCGTTGGATGCGTGGAGAATCCTGCCTTCCAGTTGCACCAGGTAAGGAATGTCTCTTCTTAACAGGAATGTCTTGGTCATGTACATCTGGACTTGATCTTGGAGAGTTATTTGCATTTATCTTGGCCCTAGCAGATTCAGTAGCTTGCATGAAATGGGGAAGAGAACTATTGTTACTACTATTATCTCCAAGCTCTTGATCAGCATGATCAGGTTTTACCAAGCCAAAGGATTTTCGTCTCTTGCCATTCAGTTGATCTTTTGGCAATTGTTCTCTACTACCTCTTGAGCCTGAATCATAATTTGCATTTGCAGGAGACTTGTTAGCAGCAGACAGTGTTCTCCGTCTATTGCTGGATCCACTCTTGTTGACTTTGCTCTCTTTAGTTTTCACAGATACCTGACTTGAAGGTGTTCCTTGGGATTCAGGGATGGTCATATGGCTTCTTGGTGAAGCTTCTGGAGACAACTTGGAATCATGCAGACCGGTGTCTGTCTTCTCTCCCAACAGTTCAGATGCATTCTTCTTGGGCTCAGCAGCAGGCTCTTTAGAATCCCCAAGCATCACTGAGTGAACCTCATTGTCATCGACCTCATCAACAATTTCTAATGGATTCAAATCAGAGTTAGGTAAATTAGAAGTTGGAGTGGCACACAGAGCTTTTCCCTCAACACCATGATCAATCTTATTTTCAGGATTATTTATGGCTTCTGCTAAATTTTTTGCATCATGCTCATTTTCCATAGTCCCAACGTCTGATATGTCAGGTGAATCCAGAGTTGAAGAAATGGAGAGTTCAGTACCACATTCAGAGCCACCAATTCTGGAAGGATAGGGAGCAGAATTCTCAGAAAATAACTCTTTTGATTTATATGCAGTATCTGTGATAACCGAAGAGGTATCTGCTTGAGATTCAACAGATGCGTCTTGATTGAACAAACTGCTTGACCTACCTGAATTTGCCGTTAAACTCAGCTCTTCAAATTTTGAATGTGCAGCAACAAAAGCAGGATTACTGAACTTCCTTGACCCATGTACAGATTTCTTTCCCTCAGTCTCCAGTTGGTCTGAAGCAAATGTTTTCATAGATTGTCTGTGCTGTTCGCCATCAACTTCAGGCTTCTGAGAAAGAGAACTAGGTTCTTGTAGTACACTGGCATGTGATTCCATTTTTTCATTTTGGAAAGAATCAATTTCAGTTGTGTTTACTTTAGCATCATCTGCAATCACCGATTCAGTAGGAGCCTGTTCCAAGTTATCTTTTACAGGAGAGGAAGTTGAGGGACTTGCTTGAAAATTGAAGTCGTTAACATCATACGTGGTCAGCTTCTTTTCCTCCTCTAATTCCATGTTTTCAATTTGGTAAGAATCAACTTCAGTTGAGGTAACTTTAGCATCCTCAGTAATTGTCTTTTCAGTAGGAGCCTGTTCCAAGTTCTCTCGCACAAGAGAAGATGTAGATGGGCTAGTTTCGAAGTTGAAGTTGTTAGTATCATGAGCTGTTGTCTTCTCTTCATCCTCAGATGGCAGAGGTGAATCAGTAACAGTGGGCTTAGAGTCTTCTACCTGAAGTAGAACTTCAGATGGAACACCTGTTTCCAATTGAGTCACAGAAGTGCTATCTTTGGTTTTGTCTGGTTGTTCTGACATACAAGTTGTTCTCTTGTACTCGGCAGAATCTTTTGAAGAAACAGACATCCATCTCTCCAACCAATTCCAAGCAGAATCAGCTTTAGAAGGGTCGCATTTGATACCAATAGGTTTGTTCTTAGGTGTGGATTCCAATAGCTTGAATGAGCAAAAAAAGAGAAGAAATACTTAGTAGGAATAAACAAATACATGATGTTAAACGGTAACATAAATAATGCAAGTCCACTGTACCTGATAAGCAAACCTATTGTTGAGCAGCTTCTCTACAGAAGTGTGCGTCACATTTGATTTGGTTACATCACTCACATGATGTTCATTACCCTAAACCATGGTACAAATAAACAAGGTACGTTTAGAGCAGGGCTCAGCACATTCTATTTGACAGAAACTCAAAATATGATAATTGATAATAGATTTCTAAATGAAAAGGATTATTATAATATCAGGCTAGAGTCAGAACCACAATTATTAAATAAAGAAGTAAAACTGCAGAGAAGAGTTCCAAGAAATAGAAGCATTGGAACATTTCTTGTGACCACGAATTCCAGCTTAAATATTTTTTAGATTAATGAGAAGTGCACATAGCTTATGCTTCAGGGATTGGAAAGTTTTGTTTGCTTTACGGTTCTACCTTACACATGATAAACAACCTCAATTACTAATCATTGCCACTCATGAGTCATGATAATATAATAGGATTGTGTGCATGGGTCATCTTGTATTGTATGAAACAATTTTTCATTATTCTGAATTCATATTACATTGCTCACTCGCAGGAGGCCCAGTACTAATGAGGAAGACACTAAAGTTTCTTGAGTGCATTCTGAGCTGCATGCTCTGCTCAAGTGGAAGGGGTGAGTACGGAGTTGATTAGAGATCCTATGTTAAATCAAAGCTTCAACTAGTAATTTTCACATCCAAAGGAAACAATGATCAGTTTTGTTGAACAAATATGTTGAGATTCTTATCTACTGAGGTACTATTATGATTAAACAAAACAAGTATTGCAAACTTCAATAGTGAATAGAATCATGAAATTAGTAACTACTAAGCATGCACCATTAAATTGATCACACTGGGGAGCAAGGCATTTGCTAATCAATAATTTTCAATAACAATACTAAAGCTTTTAAGCAATCATTTTTTCCTTCCTTGTGATTTAAATGATTTTCTGAACGTGCCTGCTTAGCATGTCGAGCTCGCACAAGGAGCTGCATTTTAACAATAGCTTGCACACAACGCAGTGTTCCCACAGCATGCTTCCTGACCAAGTGCCCTCGAACAGCAGCTTGCAACTTCACTGCATTCTTACTCTTTAGCAATGCTCTTTGAGCCTGAAAGCAACAAGAATATGCTATTTATAAGAGGGTAATTTTTTTTTTTCTTCACACTAGATTCTGGATTAACAAACCTCAAAAGGAGAACATACCAAGAACCCCCTAATGGCAGCCTGGACAATGACAACAACAGACTCAGGTAGATGGACATCCACTTTTGCCTCAGTTTCAGTGATAATTGTTTCTGACATTTCTGAGCTTGCCAAGTTAGATAACTGGGGCTTCTCATCAGAGAAATTTGTTGTACAAACCTTCTCAACAACAGCAGGTTCAGTCATTGATTGAAAATTAATACTTGTACATTCAGAACTCCCCTTATTTGCAGTAGATGGGGTCTCTGTTATCACAGTATTGCTAAGCACACGATGCCTTGCAGATCTCTTCCGGAAACTCCAACCACGTTTATCATTAGAATTGATCTGGAACACCATTTAAGAAAAATCAATTGTGAACACGAACTTGATCCCATATATGTGTGTAATGGAAAGGGTATTAAACCTCAGACTCTTCTAACAGCTACCAAGAAAGTATATGATAGATAAATATGTTTGAAGCAAAAGCATGACCTAAGAACCTAGTCATCATTTAGAGTGTGTTTCACATGCTGGGAACTTGACTTCATTCTTAGTTATAATTTCTCAAATATAAATGAAATGAATATTCCTATTTCAATTTTGTATAACAAATACGCCACCTTGTGCAATCAAAAGTATTAATTTTTTTATTAAAAGGTGCAATATTTAATGTTATTAATGCATTCTCACCTTGATTTAAATAAAAATTCATTTATCTATTCCTTAACAAGGCAACATTTAACAAAACTGTTACTGTTGCTGTTGTTGAGCTTTTAATTAATTTTACCACAGAATTGAAAATAAAAAAAATTACAGATTTACATTCCACTTGAAGTAGAACTATTATTTATATCAAATTAATTCACCTCTGTCATTTTCTTTATGAAAGAAGCAGAAAGTGATAAATCAATCATACACATCATAATGTATGACTATTATTTCCTATCTATCCTTCATCATTGAGTCTAGCTTTTCCTCCATAAAGTGTGAATGTGAATGCATGTATGTACACTGGTGGGGAAATAACAGGAGACCCAAACATGCGTAACTACACAATAACTTAATATTGGATCTCCAACGATGCACAAACAAATGAAATAAATATTTTCCCTAAATGAATTCTGTTTCAATGATCAAACGAATAATGCTTCTAATACTCGTGACATTTCAAAGTGTCAAAGGCACCACAATCAATCTTTCACTTATCTAATGCAGTTGAATCTGGTAGCATAGATCTCATAATCTCAAAAACAATTAACTTTATGTCAACTAGGCATAGATCTCATAATTTCGCCAATAACTAAGTATATATAAACAAAGCATGAAGAGGAAAATACTATATCACGATCTAAAGTGTGGAATCGACATCAAGAGTCATATTTCATGTGCCTAATTTTATTTTTTCTCAATTCATGCTGAATCGCAATGTCAAAAGAATAATTCATGTGGATCAGAATAAAAAATGGTGTCATTTTCCAGCACCGGCAATTAACAAGTTCCGCGACGACGTGCACCGTGATTTCCCAAACAAACAAATGTCACATTTTATTATACACGAAAACAACAGCAAAATCGAGCACGATCAAGAACAGTAGAAAGCATCAACGGCTCCACAAAATCCATCATAGCTGGTTACGAAATCAAGGATCACAAAAACAGAAGGATTATAAAGATTATATATATATATATATATATATATATATATTAACAATAGGAAAATTGCATTACTTTTATTTTCTAAAATTGGCGCTCACAATGCACATCTCATAAAGCTAAATTAATAAAATGAAGGCCATGAATCCAAAAAATGAAAAGAAAAAAAAAAGAACGAACCAAACAAACCATGAAGCTAAATTCACCAATGCAGGAAACATAAGAGAACCAAGTCCTTACATCTAGATGGCAAACATCCTCGGATCACACAGAAACACAAACATATTGAAGGTTGTAAAATAGAGTGTCGCATGAAACTCACCTCCGATACTACTTGGTGATGATCATCTTTCTCCGACGGATCACCGCCACATGTGATTAATCTGAAGCAGGAACTCGATTTCCCCATGGCTCTCTCAGTTTCACACTTCACACATACACACTCACAATCTCGATTAAAACAAAGAGCAACCTACTCAGTTACCGTATGTTGGAAAATGTAACAAAGTAAACTTAAAAACCACGGACCTCAACACACTCCTTAAATCTAGCTTATGGTGTTGCTTTGAAGTCCGTGTTGCGTGTCTTCCTTCCCTCGTATCGTAAATCATGCTCGTTTCCGTCATTTAAAATAAGGAAAAGAAAAATTGACTTCTCTACTCTGACGTGAACAGTATATCCTAGAATATGAAGTATAATCATTCTTGTTAATTTAAAATTTAAATTGTTATAAAATATTTTAAAAAATTGACTCATTGTTGATAAAAAATTATAATTTTACTTTATTAGAATGTATGATAAACATAAAATTTAAATTAATTACTATAAAAGTAAACAATTTTAACATTATAAATAATATTATTATTAGTATATTTTAATTAAATTCTATAAATAATACATATGATAATAATCTTTTACTAAAAAATTGTAGTTTTATTTTATATTTTAAAAAATTTATCTTTAAATAAAAAAAATAGATAAAATGAATTACACATAATTAAATTTAGTCAAAAATATATTTTAAAATATATTATTTATCTCAATATTTTATAAAATTATTTTAAATTTCTTTTTAACTTTTTTTCTTTCTCTTCGTCTTCCTCTATTTTTCTTATAATGTCAATATTTTTTTGCAAGTATCTAAATTATTTTAATCAATTATTATATTATTATTATTCAATAAATGATCTTTCAAATTTGTTCATAAGCAGTCAATCTTTATCATATATTTTTTATGCAATAAAATACTATTCATCTTAACATTTTTATTATTTTAATCAATTATGTTATTATTATTTTTCAATAAGCGATATTCCAAATTTGTTCGTAAACAGTGAACTTTTTATCAGGTATTTTCATGCAATCAAATGCTATTCATCTTAGTATTTTTATTATTCTTTAGAAAACTTAAATTAAAAAAATATAGTATATTGTTTTCTTTTTCGGTTATTAAGTAGGAGCATTAATAATGTCATTTTTATACTTTGCTGGACTCAAAATAGAAATTACTCATTGTTCTTTAATTGTTGACAGTGAGCATGACATCAGACTCGCCACTCGGGAGAAAATTACAATGCTGAGAATTCTCTTTGGTTTTTCTTCCGATTCTCGGTTGAGTGCATAGCATTATTGCCTCGCCTTTTCGTTCGGGCTTTGGACCCATTCCAATTCTTTCATCTCTCAATAATTTCATGTTTTTACACTTCAAAAATATTTTAATTTTAAGATACGTATTCGTTTGGTTTTATTTTACTTTACAACTTTATGGCACTACTCTACTACCATTAACAACAAACAAAATTGATTTGGCAGTAAAGTATTATTCTACGTAAGTTTACTGTTAAAACATTCACACAACTAAACGGGATTGGTTCAAACTAAACAATCATTTGCTAATCAATAGTATTTAAAAAATAAACTAATCATTTTCCTGAAAAAATGCTTTTGTCACGTTATGATTTTTTCACACAAATATTAATTACATGTAAAATACTAATCGTTGATTAACATGAATTTTATTTATTTTTTATTTGTCTTTCATCTCATCATTTAACTCACTGTTTTCCCTTTTCGTCTTATTATCATCATTCAGTTATCCTTGTTTAAACAAAGTTCAAAATCCTTGTTTAACAAAGATTTGTACTATCCATTTAGTTAATCTATCCTTCTCGGAATACCTTGTATAGGTTCATTGGCTGTAACGTTTTTTATTGTCTCAAAAAGATTTTTAATATTTTAATAAGATTAACAATATAGGTTTAATCCTTCAAGTTAACCTACTAAACCCACCAAATTTAGTGAGATAATTTACAATTTCAAACTTATCAACCTCTTAACCTATGTTTACTTAAGTAGCATTTTAAAATAAGTCAAAATGAGAGCATGATGGGTTGAACCTTCGATTATTTTTAAAATAAGAAAAGTTTAAGATATAATTGTTTTATATTTTTTTATTTTTTAGATATACAAATACAATAAATATTAAACTTTAACTTGTAATATTAATAAAATTAATTGTTTATATAACTTAAACTTCTATTATATTTATATATTTTATTTTGTAATATATTTTTTAAAATTTGTACAATATTTTCTTAATATTAAAGCATTATAAAATACGGTGTTTTAATATTTTTAATCTGCTAAAAAGTAGAATGAATTGAACCTAACTCATTTTATTTTACAAGTTCAAAAGCTGGATGAAGCAAACTAAATAAATTAACCCATTTATCATCTCTAAATTTTAGTATTTATTTAACTATTTTTCATTTTTTATTTTATTTTCTTTAAATAACATTTTATTAAATTATTATTTTAAGAAAATAATCTTTTTACACTAGTATAAATTTAAAAAAATTTATATTTAATTTAAACTTTTTATTTGACTTACATTTAAATTAGATCAGTAAAATAATAAATTACAACTTATTAGATATAAGTTAAATAAAAATTTTAGGTTAAATATAAAAAATTTTAAACTGAATAGTATAAAAATAGCGTACCTCATTATCTCATAGTTTTTAGTTTCGTCTCTTACTTTTTTCCTTTTCTTTCCTATGTGCCAAAACAAAATGCTATAGTATGAGAATATTTCCACAACAATTATAGATAACTATGAATTTTGCATATTATAGGTAACAGTAATATAGAAAAATGATAAACTCTTAATCATCGGTTCAAATTTTCATTGTTAGTTATAGAAGTACATATTCAAACTCTAACTTAATTTATAAGACAAAAATTAAGTTAAAACAAATGTATTGTTATATTGGAAATATCTTACAATCTTATATAGAAGTCAATAAGCTAATCAAACAAATTTTCCATAATTTTTAGAAATATAAGTACAACAAAAGGAGAGTGTGTAATAAGAACTTGACATGCGGCAAACAATTGGACAATTTTATCGTACACTGAAACTGTGAAAATGGTCATAAAAGGAAAGAACAGACAATTAAATAATGTATTCGTGAGTTGAAAAGGAAATTTTAGATTGGAGACTCGTTAAATGTTTATAAGTTGAGTATATAATTATTTTCTTTCATTTTCTTTGACAATAGAACATATTACTATTTTTCACTAACTATAATGTAATAGTTTTAGTACTAACCATGCAAATAAAAAGTTGAATGGTCAAACCATAATAGTACAAATTAGGTTCTTTTAAGTCGTCAAATCTAAATTACTAAACGAGAAAATATATTATTTATTACGATAAAATATTGAATTAATCACTGTCATTAAATTATAAAAATTAAATTATGAATGTAAATGTTTTAAATTTATACTAATAATATGATATATTATAGTAAAAAAATTTACTAATACAAAATATTAATGCATATAAATGTTTGTGTATTATATTATTTATTAATATAAACTTTCAAAACCTTCATTAAGAATAAATTTGTTAATAAACAAAAATTATAATAACAAAAACTATCTTAATATTTAATAATTTATTTCTTTATTATTTAATGATAATTCTTTTATGGTGGTATAAGTAATAACATGACATCTTACGCTAAATAACTAAAGCTAAATCTTTGAATTGTCAATTTCATATCATGTTCTTAGTAAAAAACAAAATATGAAATATGCGTTGTTCAAATAATAAAAAATAAAAAATTATATTTTTGAAAGAGTCAAAAATAGTAAAAAAGAAATTATACAATAAGATTTTATTAATAATTAAAATAAAAATTAATAAAATGAAAATTTATATTTTTAAATACAATAATTTTTTATATTTTATAAAATTTTAATTTTAATATATCATTGATATAAAAAGTTTATATTGTTAATCTATGAAAACATATTATAAATATATTTTTAATTGAATACCACAAAAATTAATTATATTAACTAAGAAAACAATAAAATATTAATTACTTAATATATTTAAATTAAATTATTATATAAAATACTGATTAATATAAAAATAATAATAATAACCACTGTAGCTCACTGGCCCCTCTCTCTACCTTCACGGTAGCATTTTTGGGCAGCAATATGATTTTGTTTTTGGTAAATTTGTACAAGTTATTGAAATCGTTTTCAACCAATGATCAATTAAACAATAAGACTCTAACTAAAACTAAAAAAACTCTTAAAAGCATAAAATAGCAACAAAAGATGTTTTATGAATATTAGCATATATTGCATAAACTATTCATCTTACTTTTTATATATAAATATCACGGATATATAACATTTTATGAAATACATAAATTAAGTAATGTGAAACTGAAAGAGGAATAGTTACTTACCATTATTCAACATATTCAATTTTGTTTTATTTTTTCAAATAATTCTTTACGATTCTTCAATAGGTTAAAAAAATATATATATAAATTAGATGTTAATACAGTCTAAACAACTCATGTGCTAAAATGCTGGTTTCTTGCGAAATGAGGTGAGTTATCGATTGATTTTTTATTTATATTTTTTGGTTATTTTAAAAAGTTGACAAATATTAACCAAAATACATATTTAATTACCTTATATTTTTATTGGCCTAAATGAGCCATTACAACGATACCTGAAATTAACCATATATTTATATCTGCGAAAATGAATTATAATTCGTGAATCTATCGGCGAAATCCGAGTGAATTAGATTAAGAAAGAAATTAACTTACAAGCATTTTATTTTATTTTTTTAATTCAACACACTTGATCTGTAAATTAGGTTAAGTCAACTAACGCTGGTAAGTGTGTGTTACTTTTCTATCTAAATTTTGTTTAATATCATTATTAATGCATCCTAAATAGTTAATATATATATATATATATATATATATATTACAGATTTAATATAAATTCTTAAAATGAGATAAAAATAATTTTAAAAAGTAAAATATATATACTCAACTGAATAATCAAATTAAAATGAAAAAAAATCAGGACCAAAAAAAAAAAGACTGGTTTTTCCTCGTGAAAAATATAAATAAAAATGGTAAAAAAAAAGAAAACTAAAACAAACAAGAAGATGAAGAAGGAGAACGTTTAGTAAACTATTGCCGCCGGCCTACAGTATTCATAAATGATGAAATGTTACGTTACGTAAATAATTGCAAAGCAAATAATTGGAATCT